GGAAGTGTGCAAAACGGTCCTGAGTCAACAGAGTAGAGATTGAAACAAAACCACTGCATGGTTTTTATAGCCAGGTTTTGTAGCCCAGTTGTTCAACCTTGTGTGGATTTCAGTTCCCAGAATTCCCCAGCCAGCTTGGGAATTCTGGGAGTTGAAGTCCATGCATCTTAAAGCTGCCAGGGTTGAGAAACATTAGTCTGGCTCTAACTTTCCAGTCAAATTAAAACTTAGAAATATATTTTTAGAAGAATCTCGACACATCAGAATTTAATAATTCCAAACAAGATATAAGTTAAGTGCATCTTACTCTGGCCACCCCTGATGTTTTCAGCATTGGGTGTAGCTGACTAGCTGGTCTTAATTGTTCAGGCATATTCAAATATTGAATGACATTTCAGCCTGAATTCAGAAGTTCCCCCAAGATGTAAACCTGTGTCTTGAAGAGAAAGGAAAGGTAACCTTGTCCAGTAGAAGTTGAGCCCACATGCCCGGATCTGAGCACCTCCTTTTGGTCCTGTGCTAAAAATAGATCCTAATATAGAATTTAGCAGTTTGATGGAAAGAAAATACAGACCTGAAAGTTGTTGGCATACTGGTGGCACTTTTTAGTTTGGGCCTAGCATTGTTATAACTTTAAAACTATGGTTTATTGAATAAGCCTTGTTAGCTGAGCTCATGAAGTCAGTCTCTTTGTCTGTCTGTCTGTCTATCCTATCAATCTTATCTCTATATCATTTATATCGATCGATCAATCTTATTTGCTACCCACCTTGTAACAAAACTACTCTGGGCAGCTTACAGCATTAATTAAATCATAATTATCTGCTCAGTCCTTTCTTCACTGCGAGATGGATGGCAAATAAATTTGATAATAATAAAATAATAATGTTTTATAAATCGTAGATGGAAACGGCTTCAGTCCTTAGAGATTGAATTAGAAAGAGCCAGGTAGCATTGCAGCTGAAGCAAGAATCGTAGTGGTTTCCTTAGCAAAGCCAGAGGTACACCCAGGGTTTGAAGCTGGCTAAGGGTTGTTGGTTTTAGAGTCCCAAAAGGGCAGAAACTGACATAAATGCTGGTTTATTCCTGATTAACAGTCCCCACTAGTGGGAAGAACCAAATGGATATTCACAGTGACTCAGAAGTTTTCATGTGACCCATATGACACGCACACCAACAATAAATCTGGGACATCCCCACCCAAGGTCACAGATTCTCACATGAGTCTTGTGGCATTTTCTTTTCATTTCAGTTGAAATGAACTGAAAAGAAGCAAGATAATTGGCCTGGGTTTGGATGAAACTCTATGTAAACTTGTACGGGAAGTGTAATATACGGAACGCTGGATATTATCAGCAAACAGTGACACAACACTTAAAACTTTCCTAGCCACGTAATTACGACATCATCTTTAATACTACCAAGGGTGATGCCAACTTCTTGGGAAATTCCTCACTGCTGAACTGGCAGGCTAGTGACTTTTTAAGTTCTCTGTCTTGTTTTTTTCAGTTCTTGAATCCAGAGTGTTCAAGACGGTTTGAGAGGTTTACTCTAATTTGACTTTGAATGTCTGCCTTCCAAGACAAGGAAACAGCAATCTGGTTTATTACCCTACACAGCTAAATTGTCAAACATTTACTCGGCTGAACGCCTGCATAAGCTGAATGCATCAGGCACACCCATGGAACCAGTGCAATATTTTCACAGTGCAGGTCAAATCCCTCATGAGAGATTTCTATTTTTGTTAGCAGTGAGCGTAGCTAATTATATCCCATCTACTCTATGGATTTTGTGGGTGACTCCTGCTCCAACCAAATCTTCATGGTTTCACCAGATCAGGTCAATTCATGATGGTGATGGACCCAATCTCGAAGCAGAATTAGAGAATAAGAGTTGGAAGGGTCCTTGGAGGTCATCTAGTCCAACCCCCTGCTCAAGCAGGAGATCTTATACCATTTCAGACAAGTGGCTGTCCAGTCTCTTCTTAAAAGCCTCCAGTGATGGAATAACCACAACTTCTGGAAGCCAGTTGTTCCACTGATTAATTATTCTCACTGTCTGGAAATTTCTCCTTAGTTCTAGGTTGAATCTTTCTTTGATAAGCTCCCATCTTGTCCTACCTTCAGATGTTTTGGAGAATAGGTATATTTTCCAAAAAAAACCCAGCATATTCAAGTATATAGGTTGAACTGATACATTATTGGTTGCTCTGCTCTAGAGTTTTTTAACCTTACAAGTAGAATCAATTAACACTCAGGCTTATGTAAAGTAATAAATAGTCTTCCCTTGACCTGAAGGCCTCTTGGAAGGGCTGGGTTAGAATGGTCAGTTGGACAGTCTATCTTGGAATGAGTCTGATGAAATAAGTGACAATTCTCCAACATTTGATATGCCTTTCAATTTATGCTTCTTGTTACATTAAAATTTACTACTGATTGGCATTTCAATTATTGGCTATATCACACTCTTATCATCTTACCTTGATCCTTGTGTACTCCCTTGGAGTGGCTTTAATTACTTGCTGGAAGTGAACAAAGATTTTTTTTTATTTATTTACAAATCACTCAAGGCGGTGAACATATCCAACCCATCTTCCTCCTCCAACTTTCCCCATCGCCACAAGGTTGGTTGGGCTGAGAGAGAGGGACTGGGAGAAAGTGCCCAGATAGCATTTAGCAATAACCTTTAGATTTATATACCACTTCACACTGCTTTCCTGACCTCTCTAAGCGGTTTAGCCTCTTGCCCCTAAAAACAATCTGGGTCCTCCTTTTTACCAACTTCAGAAGGATGGAAGTCAACCTTGAGCCTGCTGAGACTCGAACTGCCAAACTGCAGGCAGATGTAACACAAACTGTTGCAGGAGCAGCCACGTATCGGTGGAAACCAACATTTTGAAATGGTTTTGTTGATCCGTGTATGTATCATCACCATCTGTTTTGGATGTGTGTTGTAGGTCAATTAGCTATCTTCATAACCGAACAATCAACACAAACTCTTATCTCGTTTGTATGTTATTCTTGACATTTTCTTTTCAAGCTCTTGTTACTACGTTGAGCTTTACTAACTATATCGATATTGGGGTAGGAGTGGTGCTCCCAGTTTCGAAAAACAGTCCTCCTTCCCCAAGTCGTGGTTCTTTTTCTCTCCTTTTTCGTAGGATATGATGATAGTCATCATATGCTAGTTTGACAAGTTTCTAAAGAAGAGGTTCTTTCCTTCCCCCCCCTCCCCCCATAAGGGAATAATCCTATTTTGGTTAATTTCCTTTTTTAAAAATATCTGGTTCCTTTGCAGTTAGGGCTACGTTTATTTGCTTACATTGCTTGCAATTGTAGGGAAGGGTACTATCTTCTTGATGCTCACTGGTCTGGCTGCTGTGTGCTGTGCGATGGCAAATGTATGATATAATCTGAATTAGCAGAATAGCAGAATTGGAAGGGACCTTGGGGGGGGGGGTGTCTTCTAATCCAGTCCCCTGTTAGGCAGGAAAGCTTATAGTATTTCAGACAATATCTCTTTAAAACTTCGAGAGATGAAGCACCCACAACTTCCGAAGGCAAGCAGTTCCACTGGTTAATTGTCCTCACTGTTAGGAAATTGCTCCTTAGTCCTAAATTGCTTCTCCCCTTGGTTAATTTCCATCCGTTGCTTCTTGTCCTTTCTTTCAGGTGCTTTGGAGGGTAGCTTGACTCCCACTTCTTTGTGGCAATCTGGCACGGGAGAGTTATTTATTATTTAATTTATGTTGCTGCCTATTCGCCCATGGCAACTCGAGGCAGCTCACACAATGTAAAACCATATTTAAAACTAAAAATAAAAAAGCAGCAAAAACTAACAAAAAGAATCAAATAGATTAATAAAGTACAATAGAACAAAATCTGGGAAAAAGATAAAAAAAATCACTCCCCAAACTCCCACCCACAGCCCCGATGACAGCAGATCACACTAGCCATTGGATGGTCTCCATCCCACTCTGGGTTCCCCAGGCCCGCTGGCAAAACCAGGTCTTCAGTGCCTTTCGAAAGAGTGCTAGAGTGGGGGCCCTTCTAATCTCTGGTGTTCCAGAGAGACGGAGCCACCACGAAGAAGGCCCTTCTTCTGGGTCCCACCAGGTGTACCTCCCTAGGGCCTGGGACCGCAACATTCCTTGCCTTCCCGCTCTGATGGGTTGGGTGGATGTGACCGGCAAGAGGCGGTTACCCTTCAGGTCACCTGGTCCCAAGCCAGGAAGGGCTTTAAAGGTGACAATCAGCACCTTGAACTGCCCTGGAAGTCAATCGGCAGCAGCTGAAAAGCTGATTGTACAGGTAGCCCTCAGCTTACAACAGTTCATTTAGTGACCGTTTGAAGCTACAGTGTCACTGAAAAAAGCAACTTCTGGCAGTTTTTCACATTATGACTGTGGCAGCATCTCCATGTGACCAAAAGCTTGGCAACTGACGCATATTTATGATGGTTGCAGCGCCCTGGGGTCATGCAATCCCCTTTTGCAGGTCGATGGGGAAGCTTGATTCACTTCACAACAACTGCAGTGACTTACCTAATAACTGGGGCAAGAAAGGTCATAAAACTAGGGCAAAACTCACTTAACAACTGTCCCCCTCGGCAAGAGAAATTTGGGGCTCCATTTGGGGTCATAAGTCGAGAGCTACCTGTGTAACATAGTGACAGAATACTGGCTGGTATTAAGTCTGAATTCTCTGTGAAAGCCAAACAGAGGAATTGGGCCTTTTCCAGATGGATCCTGATTTTAGCTATCCCTTCCGTATCTCCTTGTAGTAAACCTGTAGCATGACAAGAGGAAGAAAAAGGGGAGAAGACCGACTGGGAGACAGTTTGACTTTGACTAAGACGATATGAAAGTAAAAATAACCCATGTGTTTTCCTGAATATTACAACTGGTTATTTTGGCTGATGTGGTTAATATGCTTCTCTCTCTCTCTCCTCTCTCTCTCTCTCTCTCTCTCTCTCTCTCTCTCTCTCTGCTCGGCTTGTAGGAGCTTGAAGAAATCCGCAAATGTGGAATGAAGAATTTCCGTAATATCCAGGTGGACGAAGCTAACTTATTGACTTGGCAAGGGCTTATTGTTCCCGTGAGTGTGAAAAGTAACCTCTTGTAATTGTTAAAATGCACCAGAGCTCTAGTGAACTCTCTAATTTTCCTTAAATACCCTGACACCTTTAGCTTGGTCCTCGCAGAACAGGCCGAGCGAATACGTGGCGATTTCCAGAATGAAGAAGAAAAAAATATTTCTGTGCGAATGCCACCCGAATAATTAAATTAGCTGCCATCCATCTTTGCATTAAAAGAAAAGTATTTCTAATTTCTAAAGCCCTTAAACCTCTAAATCGTTGCGCAGTGGTTAAAACTTAAAAAGAGAAACCCGGCCCAAGAGAAGCTCCTGTTGTAGTGCAGCTAACAAGATACAACAACAACGGAGGGAAAAATGGATGTGAAGGAAAAACGAAAGGGAGAAAAAGCACACCACAAGTCTTAAAAGCTTCAAAATGGGCCTTAGAATAGCCAGCTAAAATAGCAACTATGGTGACGGATTTGTTTCTAGCACCCTCCAAGAATGCCAGCATTCAACATAATATGCAGGTACAGGAAACATAGAATTTATTTCAAGAAATTTAGATTTCATTCCCTATCACAGAATCTATACCTGTCCCTCATATCCCACAAGTCTTGGGCAGGATAGGAAATGCTCTCTTAAGATAGTCCTTGGGTTACAACCATTCATTTAGTGGCCATTTAAAGTTAACAACGGCATTGAAAAATAACTGATGACCTACAGCATCTCCTTGGTCACGTGATCAGAATTTGGGCAGTCGGCAACTGGCATGTACTTATGACTGTTGCACGGTCCTGGGGTCACGTGATCACCATTTTTAACCTTTCCCAGCCGGCCTCCAACAAGCAAAAGCCGATGGGAGAAGCTGAATTCATTTACTGACTGTATGATTCATTTAACAATTGCAGTGAATCACCTAACCCCCGTGAGGGGAGAGTCGTAAAACGGGACACAACTCACTTAACATCCACTTTGTTTAGCAACAGAAATGTTGGATTCAGTTGTGATCGCACGTTGAGGACTACCACCAACTTGTCATTCTTGGATTCAAAAGTGATTTCTTTTATGGCCTTAAGAGCCACTTTTCTAAATGTTAAAGTCTCCTTGAATTTGAGGACTAGCTGCATGGCCAGACAGTTAAATCCCAGGTCTAAAGATCTGCCCCACATAAATTTGAAACCCATTCTTAATTATTTGAAGCTTTGTGTCCTTTTGGAGATGCAACAACCCCAGTTGTCATGGGGTTTCTTCTTTCCTTGCCTCCTTGCAGGCAAGCCGGTCAAATAACAGGGTTATTAAAACAAACGAAGAACAATTCAAAGGACGGAGGAAGGTTTCAAGCTGTTACCTAACAGGAAAAATAGAACCCCCACTCTGGCTCATTTCACTCCCTGAGAGTTGGCATTTTCATTTGATAAAGGCTTTGATTTCCCTGTGATAAAGGCAAGAATAGTTTCGTCAAAGCATAGATCAAGGCCGTGAGGCCGGAGGGAAAACAGGATACTTACCGGGAGACACCTAGAACAAAGGAAGATAAAGTAAAGCCACACAATGTACGTCACACATTGCAGCATACAGAAGTGTGGCACTCCCCTTTCTTGTGTTGGGCCAAGAGACAGCCCGTCAGCAGTTAAAACGTTGGAACTCAAAGCCCCCTCAGGACACTTGAAGTTGGGACATGCTCGCCCTGCCGTCTCGGTGTCATCTAAGGAACATTTTTAATGCACCAAACCTGGTCCCTCTTAACTCCTGAAGAAAGATAGTCCTGGACTTACAACAGTTCATTTAGTGACTGTTCTAAGTTAACAATGGCACTGGGAAAAAAAGGACTTGCTGTATTTCCCCGAAAATAAGTTCCAACTGGAAAATAAGGCTTAGCATGATTTTTCAGGATGCTTATAAGATAAGCTCTACCCCCAAAATAAGCCCTAGTTAAGATCGTCAGCCAGATGGACACCCTAACCTAACCCTAACCGTATTTCCCCCCAAATAAGATCTAACTGGAAAATAAGCCCTGATGCAGCAAAAAAATTAATATAAGATCCGATCTTATTTTCGGGGAAAACACGGTATGACCTTAACAACCATTGCAGCATCTCATTTGATCAAAATCCGGATGTTTGGCAGCTGGCTCATATTTATGATGGTTGAAGTCTCTTTTTGTGATCTGACAAGCAAAATCGAAGAGGAAGCCAAGAGTCGCTTCCCAACCTTAGAACTTGGTAAGCTGAGACGATTCACTTAATAGCCATCTCAAAAGAAAGTCGTGAAAGGGAGAAAAAGCCACTTCACAAATGCCTTACTTTGCAGCAGAAATGTTGGGCCCAATTGTAAGTTGAGGACTAGCTGTATAAAAAGTTGTGCCCATGAGTGAATAATTTATTCTGAAGGATTGAATATTCCCTGCCTCTTTTATTTATCTCCATTTCCCCAGGATTCCCCACCCCCAAACAAATCTTGACTGTGTTACTTCCCCAGAATGAAGGAATGTGTATTCTCCATTCACACACAAAATATATATTTGAATAGAGGTACTTTAAAAGAAAATAATTGTCAAGTTGTATCTTGCAATTCTCTTGCAGAATCGTGGGCGTCTTTTTATTTAATTTTTAACAAGTCGCTGCTTTGAGAATAATGGTCGTTCAACTGTTTTATCCAGATACTAGTTTTACAAGATAATCCTTCTGGCAGGCTTTTATTGGTAAATTCCTAATCGTTCTGTCTTCTGTAAACAATACTGTAATTTGCATTGAATTTGTCTGTGTGTGAACACTCCTTTGTGGAAAAAAAGTTAACACAGGCAAACTTTTATTTGATTTCACGTAGTTGCCCAGGCATCCAGCCAAACTCTGGGCCGCTGACAACCCGAGAACAAAAGAATATGTACAACAATAAAAACAAGAGAAATAGTATAAGAAACCCAGAGTGGATATTCAGTTCCCATTTTTTTTTCAGGAGATTGCATAAAATAAACTGAATCCTGCTGATAAAGATTGCAATATGTGAGTTCTTTAAAAAAAATCAGATTTAAAATAATAATAATAAAATGAGTCAGATTGCTAAAAATGGAGAGAGAGAAAAGCAGGGAAGGGAGGCTTAAGAAAAGACTAGATTTAGATCTAAAAAGAAACCACTAATAAGTAAAACAAACCTACAAAAGATTTTTCTGTTCCCTTCATTCTCAACTTTGAACCACCTCTAAGGCACTGCAAGAGTCCTTTTTAAAGAATCCTTTAAAAAAATAATTTTCAGTGGCGGATCTTGTACAGGTAGTCCTCAACTTTCAACCACAACCAAGCTCAAAACATATGTGGCTAAGCGAAACATTTATTAAGTGAGTTTCGCCCCATCATACAAACCTTTCTTGCCACAGGTGTTCAGTGAATCGCTGCAGGTGTTAAGCTAGCAACACGACTGTCAGTGAATCTGGCTTTCCTGTGGACTTTCCTTGTCAGAAGGTGACAAAAAGGGGATCACATCTTCTTTTAATGACCCCATAATCCCTTGTGGGGTGGAGTCTAGGCAACTGAATGGAGCTAGCAGGGTGTTTGATTGCCGGACGCCCTTCCTGTCACCAGGGCAGAGTTTTGTTCTGCAGATATATTCTCCTTGTGCCCAGAGAGAGAAATATCTGCCTCTTTTTGGGATCAAACTCACAGCCTCCTGATTGTGAGGCGAGAGCTCCACCTCTAGTCCACCGCACAACTCTACAAAACAGGATCACGTGACCCGGGATATTACAACTGTCATAACTACATGCCAGTTGCCAAGTATCTGAAGCTTGATCACATGACCATGGGGGTGCTGCAATGGTCGTGTGATAAATGGTCACAAGTCGCTTTTTTCAGTGCCGCCGTAACTTAGAATGGTCGCTATAAACAAACGGTTAAGTCGAGGACTGCCTGTATATCTGATTCCTCTTCCCACTCTCCAGCTTTCCTCTGAATTCCTTCTCTGGTTGTCTTGGGCTGCTTTTCATAACCTTCTGTGTTACCTCTCGTAGGACAACCCTCCATACGACAAGGGGGCGTTCAGAATCGAAATCAACTTTCCTGCAGAGTATCCATTCAAACCTCCCAAGATCACATTTAAAACGAAAATCTATCACCCTAACATCGATGAAAAGGGGCAGGTTTGTCTGCCAGTAATTAGTGCTGAAAACTGGAAACCAGCCACCAAAACTGATCAAGGTAAGAGATCTCCAGCCGTTTGGGCTATCGATTTCTGTACTAGGTCTTAATTTTGGGAAGGAATCTCAGAGCGCAAGCATGCCGGGCTCTTTAAATCTTGTGATGAAAATCACATTTGAGGGAGAACGAATTCTGATTTTTCTCATTCTTCCCTCCCTAGCTTAGTTTAAAAATCTGAATTTATCGCAAAGGATAAAAAGACGTGAAATTTCCAGGCCGCTAGCTACATCTGAAAAACGATATGTCCAATATTCAAGGCGTGTACGATCGACCTTGTTCATCATATCTCCTGAATAAAACCCCATTTAGGTGGCCGCAAGGTGTTATAGTACGCTTTCAACCAATTCTTAAATGGATTATTCTAATAGTCCAAGATGAGCTTTGATATTCCTCATCCAGCATTCTTTGTTTGCTCGTGTGCTAGAGTGTGGATTCAGAACCGAGTTTCTCTCTTTGTTTCTGCCAGAAAAAGCTTTACACACACATTATTTTGCACACACAGAGTAGTTCCTCCATTCATAAATCTGAATATACCGCCATTATGGCGGCTGATCCAATATCAAATATACCAGTGAAGATTGTCGTATGTAATGGCTCCAGATGTAATGTAATTTGTCCCATTTTGCTTTAGCACATTCCAGTCAGTCGTGGTTTATTTAGCCAACCATGGCCAAAACTGGGCTTGAAGGCTGCACTCAACCTTTGAAGGGCAAAGTTGAGGAACCAGAGCCTTAAAAAAGCAGCAATTATAGGGCGAACATTTTCATTTCTGTTTGCATTCAATTCAGATTTAAACCCTATGGCTTACATGACAACTTTTTGGTCGTTCGTTCCATACATGCATTGGAAACTTTCCCAGTTCTCTTCCATTAAAAAATAGAATTTGGAAAACATTTGTGGAGGACTTAAGTGCCATTCCCAAGGATTCGAGTGCCACCTGCTCAGAGTCCCCTGAACTGCAAGATGGGTGGCAAATAAATTTGATAATCGATCTATTACAAATCAATAAATCTCGGGGAATCTGCAAATCGATGGTTCTGCCTCTCTTTCCCAGCCACGCTGATCTCTCTTTTTCTTCTTCCTTCCTTCTTTCCCCCTCTTTCTTTCTTCTTTCCTCCCCCCCCCCCCCCCCCCCCCCCCCCCCACCTTCCTTTCTTTCGACAGTAATCCAGTCCCTCATAGCACTGGTGAACGACCCCCAACCAGAGCACCCCCTTCGAGCCGACTTAGCCGAAGAATACTCTAAGGACCGTAAAAAATTCTGTAAGAATGCTGAAGAGTTTACAAAGAAATATGGTGAAAAACGACCAGTGGACTAAAAACAACGACAACAACAAAAACAAAACACAACAAAACAAAAACAACAACAAAAAATACACCTGACCGAGTTGATGTCAGCAATGTGTGATAGAAGAGCTGAAGAAGTGCATTTCAGACACACCCAAAAAGCAGGACTCTCTATGGAAATTGACAAGTGTCACCTCTTGGTGTTAACTTGTGGCTGTTAAACTAACTTTCTACCGTTTCTTAATCAAAAGTGGTCTAGGTAATCTGTAAAGAAAGGATTAAAAATTTAAGATGTTCTAGTTCTGCTTTCTTTGTTTAAAATCACTGCTTTAATGTACTTTAAAGAATGCTGTTTCCTTTTCCTTTCTCTTTTTTGTTTTCTCCTGGTCACAATTTATCAGAAAAAAAGTCTTAGGCTTATAACTTGCCCTTAAAATTCAGAAGGTCATGGCTGTTGTTTCTTATTTTCCTTTGCAATTCTCTCTTTTTTTGTTATTCCCCATTTTTTTGGTTGCCCCTTATCCTTCCCTCCTCCCTCCCTCAGACAGAAGAAAACAACCACGGCTACTTAATTTCTTAGCAAAAAGAAAACAGAAAGACATTTTTGGGGGAAAAATAAGAGCTGTTTGTTTTCCCTGTCTTAAAACGTTGCACTGTGTTTTGCGGACGTGGGTCCAAGTTTTTTTCCGACTTTGGTTTGTCACATAAACGAATCTGCAGTATGTACACCAAAAAAAACAAAAAAAACCCAAACCCCACCAGAATCAACCCCAGATCTGTTGTAAATCTGGCTGATGTGGTTACAATAATGTTTATTAAATGGGGAACTCCAAGCTTTGCTTGCAGGAATGAATGGTATGGCTTGTATTCTGTTCAGGGGGAGGACATTTTGGCACAAAATATTCTTTAGCAAAGCGGAGTGTCATTTTCTTTCCCTTCCCTCTTCCCCCCCCTCCCTTTTTTAAAAATTTTTTTACTCTCCACTTTTATTCTTTAGTGTCTATGCAGGCTACCTAGAATAAAGAAGGACTCGAGTCCATTTGCAAAAATTTCAAATATGGGACCAAGAGGTACCAAAACAGAATTAAATTACCAACTAACCAACTAAACCCAGCTCCTTATCCTGTATACTTCCTAGCTGAGAGACTTAACTGGGGGAAATCCTTCTGGAAAACTTAGTTCTGAAGAACAAAAACCTAGTCACAAAAAATTCTTCAATTGACCTCTTTTCCCCATGCAAACGACAAAACTTTAATTTTCTCCTAATGATGGATTGGTTTGATTGATTGTCGTCCCAAACGTAAGCAATTTCCATTAAGCAATAACCCGTGCCCATCGTGAAATTGAGCAGTTGCCTTTCTCCGTAAAATAGTAACCTGTACATGCAATGTGGCATTCTAGGAGTAATATTGATTCAACAATGTCGATTCAACCCCAGCTATCCCTGCTCTCAATCAGGCGTGTGACGTTCTTTCCCACGGAGAACCGAGCCACCCCGTTTAATGTGTCGCGTTTTAGGATGGGCAAAAATGCAACTTGGTTTACGTGACACAGTGACTCTTTCCCCAGGCTGCTCAGCTTTAAAATGCCTGGCTTTTAAGTGAGCATTTCAAACCCATTTCTGTGAAACTGCAGTGAAGAACCAAACCCCAGTGCGTAATAAACATTTCTGTTTTGCATGTCTTCGCTTTCATAGATCTCTCGGCATTCCGGTGGGTTTTAATTTTTCAGGAATCTGGAATCCTTGTTCAGTCTTTAGGGAATGAATGTATGGTTGGGGAGCTGTAGAAATAGCATTTCAAGTTTTAATTATTATTATTATTTTGCGTACACCCTTCCATCTCCTCCACTCCAGCTTTTGATTTTAAACTGTACAAGATTGACAGCCAAGTACCTCTGTTTGAAAAGTAGAAAGAAAGAGAAAAAAAAAGGCAGTTTTTTTCCTTATCAGTTGGGGTATGAAACATCTGTTTTAAGTGTTCTTAGACACATTCTTTGGTAGGCGATTAAAGTTTAAAAAAAAAACAAACCTTAATGGACACTTGCATTTTCCTTAATATGTGTGTGTAGGCTTGGTGACCAGCACTTGTCTATTACCAAAATCTCCACAACTTTTGTGTCTTCGTTTGCAGAAAGTTGGAACTGACTTTGTTTCATTCACGCTCACTCCGATTCAAAATAAACAAAAAAAATGCCAAATTTTACCTGTCAAACTGAAGTGTATGTAAAACCCTGCCTTGCAAGACATTGCAAAAAAAAAAAAAATGTCCTTTTTCTTTTAGTTGTTGTTCCATACTCAGCTCTTTAACTCTTTTTACTTCGATATTGGGGAATGGGGGGGAAATCGGTCTCTCTTTTTAAATTGCAAACATCTCTTAAGTCGAATTGCAAATATGTCCATGGGTGCTTTCGGAACAGAGAACATAAAAAAATCTGGATAATTTAAGGCGCCGACATTCAGAATCCCCATGTTATCTTGGTTACTTTGAACCACAAAAATCGTAACTTCTCCCCTGTGGGTCAGATTCCTGCACTCAAGCCCAATAAGTGTCAGCTGCATTTGTGCAAATAACACAACACCTGTCCCTCAATCTTTAGCTATAACCAACTACCCATCTACAAACTCAGCTTGTGAGTGTCGTTATTCTCTTTCCCTTTTCTGGCTACCAAAATGTAATTTTCCCGGGCTATATCTACAGCTAAAATAGGCTTGCTTCTGTCCAACAACATCTTAAAATATCCCAGCCCTTCTCTCCCCCCCCCCCCCCCCCCCCCCCCGGCCCTCTTTCTGTGAGAATCCCCCCTTTTCCCCTTTTTTTTTCCCGGGGGAAGACCCCCCCCCCCCCCCCCCCCAAATGGGGGCTGCAAAACTCAAAAGACGGATTTCCAATAAGGTACAAAATGCGCACGAGCCTCACGTGAAACCAGGGTGAATAATTTTGAAGAAGAGAGGGATAGCGGAGAGCCTCTTTCGATGTACCCGAGAGGTGATTTTAGAACATAGAATTCTAGGACCTTGGGGAGTTTTCCAGTCCAACCCCGTTGATTCAAGGCAGGAGACCTTATACATCCAGGCCAAAGGTGGTCCCAGTCTTATTTTTGAAAACCTCCCGTTTTCATTTCTGCAAGAGATGTGAGCGGATGGGGTCCCACCCTTTCGCCCAAACCAATTTTTTTTTTCAGCTGCTTGGGGATTCTTGTGACTGTTGGGGTGTTAACAGGTCTTGCTGTCTGTTTTGGCTGTTATGCGCTGTATGTAGAAACACATTAGCTTTGTTAGATTAGATTTTGAAGCCATATAATGGTTTAAAGGCTTGCTTCCGTTCCAAATGACCAAATTTTGACCGTGGGGAGAAGTTGTTGTAAGTGCAAGGATCAGCGTAAGTCACTTTTTTAAAGTTCTGTTTTCATTTTGGTTGCTAAATGAATGGTAAATTGAGAAGACTGCAGTATTTTTAAAATAATGACTTTTTGATGAATGGATTAACTGTAAATAACACTTTTGCACTTCTTTGTGCTAAGCTGAATCCTTCCTTTCTCTCTCTCTCTTTTCCTTTCCTTCTTTCCTTTCCTTCATTTTCTTCTTTCTTTTTCTCTTGCTCTTTCTTTCTTTCTTTCTTTCTTTCTTTCTTTCTTTCTTTCTTTCTTTCTTTCTTTCTTTCTTTCTTTTCCTTCCACCTCCTAATCAAATCAACTTGGCATCTATCCTGGCCTATGTTTCTTTGTATTTTGTCGAAGCAATTTAAGCAGAACTAGTTAAAATGCCCAGCCAATTCTCTCTGCATTTCTACTATATAAGAACAAACTAGCCAAAATAAATTGATATAGTACATAAGAAGATTAGAAAGGAAGGGTAAATATTTCCATCTAAAAGATGGCTAAATGTTGGCACATTCTGCCATCATTCTGTTAATGCTCCTTTCAAATATTTTAGTTTTGACCAGTGCAGGCCAGGGAGAGACCGGAAGAAACTCAATTTTCAATTTATCAAACTGTTCCTAACCAAACGCAGAGCTAATTAGTAGGCAATTATTTATCCATAGAAAAGATGATTTTTTTTTAAAAAAAAAAATCTAGTTTAATTCATCATTAGTCCCAGAGTGATACAAGAATAAATAATAATTCAGTGTCAACAGAGAACTCAAGAAATTTGTGGGAATTACAAGAGTCACAGAATTGATTTGAATGTTTAAACAATCAAAGGAATGTAATTTCTTAAGAAAATTAAACATTATATTGGAGACCTATTACAGATAATTCTCAACTTACAACCAGAATTTCCATTGCTTAGCAAGGCAGTTCTTAAAGTGAATCGCGCCTAATTTTACGACCTTTTTTTTGGCCACAGTCGTTCAGTGAATCACTGCACTTCTGAATCACATGGTCGTTAAGCGAATCCGGATTCCCCATTTGACTTTGCTTGTTGGAAAAGCCAGCTGGGAAGGTCACAAATCAGGATGAAATTCTCCCAGGGCACTATAATTCTTATATGCTGGTACCTGGTTCCAATCACCTGGCCGGTAGGGATGCTGCAATGGCCGTAAGTACGAGGACTGGTTGCAAGTCACTTTTGTCAATGCTGTTGTAACTGATTGGTCCCTAAACAGACGTTTGTAAGTCAAAGACTCCCTGTAAATTGTGAAATAAGAAAGATAATGTTTAACAGCAGCTTTTTAAATATATCTACTGGATCAGAGATAGGATCCTGTGAAAATCCAGGGAACGTTTTATCTTTAAAAAAAAAAGGAAATTCAGAGATGGGGAAAGAAGCTTTGGATCATCTGTGCAAGTGGTTTTGCATAAAGCAACTGAGCCTGTTAAAAAAAGGCAGCATTTGATTGCCTAATGCAAAGTTGATTTTTCAAAGCCTGAGAGTGCTTAAAACAACTGTTCGCTTTTGATATTAAACTACCTTCAACCCAAGGGTAAAAAAAAAAAATATTGGAAGGCTCCAAACTTTGTCTCTTCCTTCTAACAAAGCTTTCATAACATTTTGATTTAAGCCTCGCAGATCGAGATATTCTTGATTCATCCTGTTCTACTTGCTATTCAAACAGTTGGGATGGTGGGTTTTTTTTTTTTTACTAATCCTTAAAACAAATCACCGCGTTACTAAGCAAGAACAACCTAAAATAACATTGGATTCTTCCAAATGCCTTTCTATCTCAGAATATAAGGCAGAAAGAGAGACCTAGGTTACTGTATGGCTGAGTTCTTGCAGCGTGCCAAACCTTGGCTTGTGGACTTCCAACTCCCAGACTTACAACATAGTTGGCTGAGGAATTCTGGGAGTTGGAAGTCCACAAGTCTTAAAGTTGCCAAGTTTGGGGACCTCTATATTAGATGAACACCCAGTGATGCATTGATGATGTGACCTAGTTTGGTTACGAAACGTCTCCAAGGAAACCACCACAAGCTCAGAGAGCAACAAGGGCCCCTCCTTTCAACGCTGAGTTACCAATATTCTCTCCCCTCTTGGTATACCCTAAAATTTCAGGTCTATGCTGGCATTTCTGCCAAGTCAACGCCAAGTGATGGCTCCCCGTTGGACTGCCTCAATCCTCTCCCACAACCATCAACTCTGGAAATTCCACTTGGCTCTTTGCATGAAGACAATCGCACAAAAATATCTTCTGTGAGATTTTTCCCCCCCTCCAGTTGCAAAAAAAATGAAAGAAAATAAAATTTAAAAAGGGGAGGAGGAGCCATATCTGCCTGCAGAGGGTGCAAAAATTTCCCAGGTGTCTTCTGCTCTCCCTGGGAGCCATCCCTGAACTAGCCATCTTCATCTAGGCCAGGGGTCTGCAACCTTAAACACTCAAGGAGCCATTTGGACCCGTTTCCTATAGAAAACAGGTCAGGCGAGGAAGGACTGGGAGGGATGTGGCCAGTTAGTGGTGGGATCAGCCGACAGCCGCAGCAGAGGATCGAAAGAGCCGCATGTGGCTCCAGAGCCGTGGGTTGCCGACTCCTGATCTAGCCAATGTAAAAACGGGAAGCGTCCTTCACGGAGAATCAAACGGTGAGATCTTGGAAAGCACAGAGCTGAATATTCCTGATTTGGTAATGTTTCTGGAGCTCTGGGTTCTTCAAGGTCTCGAGTTCATGGAGGCGCTCCCAGGACTGAGAAAAGTCATCCGGGCCTTCTCCACAACCTCCAGTAGGCGGGATGCTGGGGTAGCCTGGGTGGGTCATGAGTTCGAGCGTCACCGTCCGGAGCCCTTGACCAGGACACAAGAACGAAGAGGGCGGAGGAGTTGCGGAGTCGTCTTTGGCCAGATGCGCTGTGGTGGCGTTATCAATAGCATCCAAGATGTTTTGGGTGGACATATTTTTCCCCATGGTGCTGAGGCCGATATAGATATCTGGCCACCTGGAAGACAAAAAGTTACTTATGTTTCAGAAAGACAGTCCTCAACTTACAAAATGTTCGTTTAGTGACTGTTCAAAGTTACAACAGCATTGGAAAAAAGTGGCTTACGACCGTTGTGCACACTTAATGACCACTGTGGCATCTTCATGGTCAGGTGTGGTCAAAATTGAGGCGCTTGACTCCTATGTATGACCATTGTGGTGTCCCACAATCAGCTAAACCTATTTTGTGACCTGACAAGCAAAGTCCATGGGGAAAAAACCACATTCACCTTAACAACCATGTTCCTAACTTAGCAACTGTGGCGACTCACTTAACAACTCGCAAGAAAGATCGTAAAATGAGGCAAAACTCAGCAAAGGCCTCACTTAGCGACAGAAATGTTGGGCTCGGTTGTGCTCATAAGTTGAGGACTATATAAGGCAGTGGTGGCTAACCTTTTGGGGGTCCTGTGCCAAAAATTGCGCTTGTACTCTCGCGCTCGTGTGCCAGCACCCAGAAGGCAATCTCCACCCACCCCCCGCCGCCCCTTTACCTGCACTGCGTCTTACAGATGATTTTCAGCCAGTTTGAGGCCTTTTTTGGCCTCCCAGAGGTTTGAGGAAGGCTTCTGCAGGCTTTTCAGGCCAAAAACTAGGCCCGTTTAGTCACTTCCAGTATTTTCGTAAAAACAGGAAGTGACGAAACGGGCCTAGTTTTTGACCTGAAAAGCCTGCAGAAGCCTTCCTCAAACCTCTGGGAGTCCGAAAAAGCCCTCAAACCTGCCGAAAATTAACTGTGAGGTGCGTGCATGCGCAGTGAGGTAAGTTTGCCTGCAGCTCACCTGCCAGCACAAATGGCTCTATGTGGCACCTGTGGCACGCGTGCAATAGGTTCACCATCATGGGTATAAGGCATCCTTTCTTAATAATATGTCCCTTACAGGTAGCCCTTGTCATACAACAATTCGTTTAGCGACCGTTTGAAGTTACAAGGGCTCTCATCATATAGCCATGGTGATATCGCGACAGTTGTTAAGAGCGAGAATTGGTCGTAAGTCCCTCCCTTCAGTGCCATTGCAATTTCAAGCATTCATCGATGGAGATTCTCAATCATCCAGGCTAGGGTTGTCCCCAAAGATGCTTTTTCCAAAAAGCACCTGGACTTTTCTTGTTTTTGTTTTCCTTGAAAATGTTTCGCTTCTCATTCAAGAATCTAGAGGCGAACAGAAGAAGCTTCTTGGATGAGAAGTGAAACGTTTGCAAGGCAGGAAACCAAGAAGTGTCCCTTTTTGGAAAAAAAAGGGTGTCTTGGACTTTGAGAGTCCAAAGAGTGGCTAAAAAAATGGTTGTAAGGGCCATCTACAGCAGAACTTTTCAAAACTAAGTTCAAAAAGTACACCGTTCCTGACTGCTAATTAGGTTCACAGGTATTTCTCTAGTCTTAGAAAACAACCTGCTCTTTATAAAACCCTAGTAAGAACCACACCTGGAATACTGCAACCATTTTTGGTCACCAAAAAAGATACGGAGATTTTGGAAAAAGTTCAGAGAAGAGCAACTAAGACTATCAAAAGGCCTGGAGACTAAAAGATACAAAGAACAGCTGCAGGATTTGGGTCTGGCTAATCTAAATAAAAGAAGAATTAGGGGTGACGTGATAGCAGTGTTCCAGTATTTGAGGGGCTGCCACAAAGAAGAGGGGGGTCACAAATGATTCTCCAAAGCCCCAGAGGGCAAGACAAGAAACAATGGATGGAAACTAATCAAGGAGAGAAGCAACCAGGAATTAAGGAGAAACTTTCTGACAGTGAGGACTATTAACCAGTGGAACAGCTTGCCACCAGAAATAGTGGCTGTTCCATCACTGGTGGTTTTTAAGAAGAGACTGGACAGTCACTTGTCTGAGATGGTATAAGTTCTCCTGCTTGAGCAGGGGGCTGGACTAGAAGACCTCCCAGGTCCCTTCCAGCTCATTCGTTCTATTCTTATAGATGCCCCACCTTATTCCATGCTTTTGAAAGACCTCTATGGTGTCCAGCGAATCCTTCTCCACTCCCGAATAGAAATCCATCAGAGTTGACTCTATCCAACCACAGCGCGGGAGATCTGGTTCAATGGGAACCCGCGTGTAAGTGATCCCGTAGGCTTCCAAGACCTCTGCAAATACGTGCCTGATCTCTGGAAGAGTAACCGAAGAGGAAGAACGTAGTAAGAGGATCTCAATTCCGGGGAAATACAAACACCGAAATGTCTTTGAGGAGCAGAAGGGAGACGGTGGACCGATCCTACTTACCTGGGAGAACGTGGACGTGTTGGTGTCCATCCATGTGATGTGGCAAATGGCCTGTCAGTTCGCAAAACAACTCCACTTGTGCTATTAATTCCTGCTTCACCTAAGCGTAGAAGAGCAGAAGCTGTAAATTCGTCGCTCGAACATTCTCATTTATAAAAATGAAATTGTCAGATGAAGGCTAAAAAAACCAATCGGACACAACTAAACCTTCCAAGGGACATCCTGGCAAGCTCCAAAATGAAGGGTTTTTTCCTTGATGGTTTCTGAGTTGGGTTGGTTTCTTGCAGACGTTTCATTACCCAACTAGGTAGCATCATCAGTGCTGTTAACCTTGTTTGAGTAATGAAACACCTGCAAGAAAACAACCAAGCTCAGAGAACACCAAAGGCCCTATAGTAGTCTTCCTACTCCTCTCACCCAACTCTCTTCTAACACTGATGGTGTTGCTTAGTTTGGTAATGAAACATCTGCAAGAAAACAACCAAGCTCAGAGAGAACCAAGGATGCTACAGTCCTCCTCCTCCTCTCCACAAACCCCAGTCCCTTCTAGCATTGATGATGTTACCTAGTGAGGTAATGAAATGTCTGCAAGAAAACCACCAGCTCAAGAGAGCACCAATGAAATGAGAACTCATTTCAACCCTGAAATCTTCTCCGAACAACGCTAACCCAAAAGATCAATGTGATTTCCTGCCCTTCTTAGCAGAAAACGCACAAAATGTTGTGTGGGCTCCGAAACAGGCTTGGTACCATTTAAGAAAAAAGAAACCCACAACGCATTAGAAACATCTCCCTTGATGAATTTGGCCTACATCGAAAAGAAGACCCAACCCAACCAATTTGAGTTGCCTGGCTCAACATTGGCATCCTTCACAACGTACCTGTCAGCGTTTCAATGAAACTCCCCATTTCATTCAGCTCTCAGAAACAAAGTTTGTCCGAGTAAAGAAGTTATTAAAGAAGTTATATTGGCACATCTAGGAAAACCCAAATCTGGGAGTTCTGGGTTTCCCCTTCCCAAAAGAGAAACCAAAAGCCCATCCCCTGCACCCACCAGCCCATCACATGGCCCAATCCACCATCGTCCCAACTGGAGACATCCTTCCAGTCAGTCCCCTCCAGGTGGAGGGCAACATGTCCTTGACTCTCTGAGAAAGAATGTTGTTGAGTCTAATCTTCCACCTCTCTATGAAATACCCCCCTCCCAAATTCCCAGGCAGACTCGAAGCTTCTAAGTGAAATATGGCTTCCAAGGCTGACAGTATCTCAACCACCTTTGAAAGAGTTGACTGAGGTGTGTTTGCCTGGCTTCCCCCTCACCTCAACCATATTAAGGAGTCCTTCATTCAAACATCTCCGAATTCCCATCTTCCCATGGAAAAACCCTTCTGGGTTGAGTAGCGTGGACTTTTTCTTCAGTGCTGGGCAAACCGGGGTGCCTTCAGAAAGGTTGGCATGGAGTCCTATCGGAATGGAATGTCTACAGAAAGAGGGGGGGGGGAATTGAAAAACCAAACACAACTTTGAACGTCTGCCAAGGAGAAAAACTTGCAGGATTTGTTGATTTGGATCCCATTCCTAGTTCAAGAGGGTGACTCATCAGATTCCTCTTCCGTGACGTAATTTGTGGGAATCAAGCATTTAGCAGCAGGAACTGTAATTATCCTTGTGTATTTCCAGGATGTGATTTAAGTGTGACCAACATCTATTGTCTCCCTATTAAAAAGGATATGTAGATGTGAAGGGCCATCTCGGATAGATGAGGTTTCCAGAATTTGGACAAAGAAGAGGATAACATGAAGATGAACATAATATAGTGGCCAAGGAGAGACCCCGGTACGTGTTTCCATTGGCTCATGAAGCTGGTTCGACTTAATCATGGTCTTTCAGTCCAACAGAGGTGGTGGTGTGATGAGGATGGAATTGGAGAAGACCTCATATATAAATAGGAAGCAGGAGTATTACGTATATTAACTCTAGATAGATAGATGATAGAAGGATGGATGGATGGAGAGAGAGAGAGAGAGAAAGAGCTGAGAATTAGAAATGATAGATCAGGGGTCTTCAAGCTTGACAGCTGTAAGACTTGTGGACTTCAACTCCCAGAATTCCTCCTCCAGTCATGTTAGCTCAGGAATTTTGGGAGTTGAAGTCCACAAGTCTTAAACTTGCCAAGTTTGAAGACCCTTGCAATAGATGATTGATAGATAATAGAGAGAGAAGCTGAGAAAAAGGAGTAGAGATGATAGGAGAGAGAGAGAGAGAGATGATAGACAGACAGATAGAAAGAAGCTGAGATAGATAGAAATGATAGACATGTTGATAGATACCATAGATAGATAGATAGATAGGTAGGTAGGTAGGGAGAGAGAGAGAGAGAGAGAAGCTGAGATAGAGAGGTAGAAATGACAGATGATATATAAGCTGAGATAAAGAGAGATGATAGACATGATGATAGATACGATAGAGAGAGAGAGAGAGAAGCTGAGATAGAGGTAGAAATGATAGATGATAAGAGAGAAGCTAAGATAAAAAGGTAGAGATTATAGACATGATGGATAATTAGAGTACGTGTGTGTGTATGGTGGATGAATTGGATGGATGGATGTGTGTGTATTACAGGTGGTCATCAGCTTACAATCATTTGTTCAGTGGAATTATGCCACTGAAAAAAGGAACTTGCAGTCGGTCCTCGCACATATGACTGTTGCAGGATCCCCGTGGTCACATGATCAAAACTTTGGGCACTTGGTAGCCAGCGCGTCAATCTGACTATTGCAGCATCCCAGCCACCTTCCAACAAACACAGCCAATGGGGGGGGAAGCCAGATTCACTCAACAATTGTGTTATTAATTTCACAACTGCAGGGATTCCCTTAACAAAAAGTCGTAAAATGGGGCAAAACTCACTTAACGGATTTCTCACTCAGCAACATAAATCTTGGGCTCAATTGTGGTTGTAGGTCGAGGACTACCTGTATACTAAAGCGATGCATTACAACGTGCTAGCGAAAAGCTATGTGTTGTGAAGGCTAATACCAGGAAAAGAACCCACAGCTGCGTGATTTCACACTGTTTTGTATATAAGAATGAATTCCCCAAGGAAACTTATAAGAGTGTATGTGGAAGAAATGAGTAACAAGGGAAGGAGAGAAATCTCGGGCTGAATCAGGAAGAATCTCACAGGTTTGTAAGAGCCAGCACAACAAAATAAATCCTCTTAGACTGGCTGAGAAAACGGGAACAGAAGCAGGCCAGGATAAGTTAGATAATCACCTAATTAAACACCGAGGGATTTATTTATTCTTTTAAAGAGGGATGCTGTCATCGGACACAGTTTTTAACCTATTCAAAAACACAATATTTTCATTTTGCGGTATCTTTTAGTGGTTCTTCACCATTTCTTTCTGACCTGTATCTGGGGGTGGCTTGTGTGAAAAAGAAGACGGCACAGTCCTTTGGCCTTGGGAATTCAGAGCTGTCTTTCTTCTGCAATCTTGGTGCCAGTTATTTATTTCAACTCCCAGAATCCCTGAGAATTCTGGGAGCTGAAATCCACACTTTGGGAGAGCAGCCCACATCTGGTGTAGCAATAGCTCTTATACTGCTTCCCAGTGCCCTTATACCGCTTATACCGCTTCCCAGTGCTACCCAGCCCTCTCTAAGCGGTTTATGGAGTCAGCCTCTTGCCCCCAACAATCTGGGTCTTCGTTTAAAAGGAAAGACGGAAGGCTGAGTCAACCTTGAGCTGGTCAGGATCGAACTGCTGGCAGTAGGCAGAGTAGGCAGAGTTTGCCTGCAATACTGCCTTTTAACCACTGGGGAGGAAGGGAAGGGAAGGGAAGGGAAGGAAGGAAGGGAAGGAAGGAGAACAGCAATACAAATAATTCTTAGACTTATATACCACTTTATAGCCCTCTCTAAGCAATTTACAGAGTCAGCCTATTGCCCCCCAACAATCTGGGTCCTCATTTTACCGACCTTGGAAAGATGGAAGGCTGAGTCCAGCTTGAGCTAGTCAGGATCGAACTACTGACAGTGGGCAGAATTAGCCTGCAATAATGCATTCCAACCACTGCGCCACCACGGCTCTTTCCATGTTGTATGCAATAATACTGTATTTGTCAACTTTGGCAACTTTTAAGACTGGTGGACTTCCAAGTCCCAGAGTTTTAAACCTCCGGGGAATTGTGGGAGTTTTAAGCCCGTCCCTTTTAAAATTGCAACTCTACTTGCAGCCATGGTCCTCTACTTGCAGCCATGACTGAGCCCAAAATTTCTGTGGCCAAGTGAGACATTTGTGAAGTGACTTTTGCCCCTTTTTACAATCCTTCCTAGCACAGTTGTCTAGCGAGTCACGGCATTTGTTAGGTCCCGGTTGTTAAATGAATCTGGCTTTTCCCCCAATTGGACTTGGCTTGGCAGAAGGGTACAACACGGGGGCACCTCCCCCCCCCCCCCCCCCGGGGACATCTCAACTGTCATAAGTACATGCCAGTTGCCAAGCATCCCTGGGGAAATGCCGCAACAGTCATAAGTGTGAAAAACAAACAAACCATAAGTGGTTTTTTTTTTTTTTTTTTGCTGCCGTCATTTTGGGGGCACAAAACAAAGGATTGTTAGTCAAGGACAACCTGTACAACAATTTTTTTTACTACTAATTCTGTGGGCCTGGCTTGGTGGGCGTGACAGGGGAAGGATGCTGCAAAATCCCCTTTCCTTCCCCACCCCACTAACCTGCTTTCCAGCTCTGTTCTCCTGTGCAGGGAACCAAAAGAAGAGCCGGCCGATCAGCTGGGACTCAATGGGAGGCGGAGAAGAGATGGGGTTGGCGGAGCCAGTCAGAAGTGGAATTGACCAGTTCTCCGAACTACTCAAAATTTCCACTTACTGGTTCTCCAGAACTGGCCAGAACCGGCTGAATACCCACCTCTGGTTGTAGACCCATCTTTCGGGTTTAAGAATTGCTTGATACCCATGAAATCAAAGAAAAAGAAAACAAAAAAGGAGAGACTCACTTCTTGGCCAGCTGGACGGCGTCAGACACGGCGCTCCCGTTAACCAGGAGCGAAACGTTGGAGATAGCCCCGGCCAGGAAACACTCCACGATGCCGTGATTCCTCCTCGGGCAGTAGCCAAAATCATCCCCGGTTACGATCAACTTCACCACCGTGGCTTTGGGCATCCTTAGGAGTCAACCCTGGGCGCACAAAACGTGAGCCAGAAGACAAAATCCTCGCATTAGCCCGTATCTCTTCCTCTCCCCACCAAAAGCAAAGACAGGAGAAGCAGAGAAGGAAAGGACGAACCGGAGCACCCATAAGCCACAGCCATGGCTAACCATCGCCGTGTCCCAAGGAAGCCTAAACATAAGCTGTGCCTTTTTTTTCTCTCTCTGTGCCACGGGAGCTGCTAATCTCGTCATCGGGAGGGGTGTGCGGAAAGTAAGCCCCACCGAAGGCAATGTAACTAAGAGGATTAGCCCAACTCGGCTTTCTGGACGAGGGAGGAAAAACGCACCGTGGTTGAGTTTGAGCTGGTTGGGGTTGGTTTTTTTTTTTATTTAAATCTTTTGACATGGGGAATGGTTGATCCGGAACAATTTCTGGAGCAGAGAAAAGGCCGCCGAAAAACACACGCTAAATCAGAGCCACAGCTCAGCCCATTTCAATGAAGGGAAGGAATTTGGAGCAGAGGTGGGGAATTGGTAGAGTTGGGGCGCCATGATATTTTTTTTTTAACTTCTGAAGTGCAAGAGGTGGGAGCACAGATGGGAGAGCAATAAAAGATGCAGGCGTTAAAAAAATTAAAAATAAAATTCAGGAGCTTCAGGAAGCGATGACTGGCTAACTCCTTAGCAGAGGCCATTAACACAACGGTAAGGAAATGCCAAAATCGGTGGATTTTGAACCAATGGGATTTTGGACACTGATTTTGCACTCTTTCAACACAGCCTACCACAAAGGAGGGTTGTTGTAAAGAACAAATGAAGAAACAGCGGGAAAGTCCTGGCTTAGGCATGAAAGAGGTTGATTGACTTTGGGCCAATCACCAGGAGGCGGTGAGTTCTAGTTTCGCCTTAGGCATGAGAACCAGTTGGGTGACTTTGGGCCAATCCCAAGGAGACGGTGAGTTCTAGTCCCACCTTAGGCACGAAAGCCAGCTAGGTGACTTTGGGCCAATCACAAGGAGACAGTTGAGTTCTAGTCCCGCCTTAGGCACGAAAGCCAGCTAGGTGACTTTGGGCCAATCACAAGGAGACAGTTGAGTTCTAGTCCCGCCTTAGGCACGAAAGCCAGGTAAGTGATTTTGGGCCAATCACAAGGAGACAGTTGAGTTCTAGTCCCGCCTTAGGCA